GCCCTCATGCCCCGCCCCCACGCCCCGCCCCATGTCCCACCCCTGCGGCTCTCACCAGCCTCCAGAGATGACAGGTCATACTTGTTCTGGTCATACTGGCCCAGCATGTCGATGTACATGGTGGGAGTGCCGAAAACGAAGGTGCACCTGGGTGTGGTCCAAGATGCAGGTCACACACTGAATACAATTCATTCATTCAGTGATACAGTAATAGCAGAGAAACACGCTGCCCCCCTGAGGCAAAACACAGTAACTATGTTAATACTGAAACAGAAAAGAAAGGGTGTTTTGCCTTTGTGTTAGTGTGGACAGAGTGACCAGATACTCCATATCAGGCAGGATACTTTAAGCTACTTCAGGTTTTACAAACTACAGCACTTTAAAACTGAAAGGCTTGGCTTTCAGTTTTAAATTAGTTTGATTCTTCTTGTGCTTTTACTGGTTTGTTTGCTTGTTTAAAAGACTCATCATGCATTATTATAGGAGACTGACCAATCAGCACACAGCAAGAACTCAATGCTTAAATGAAATTCAGGTCCTTTTAAATGAAATGGTGGTTAAAAATCCAGCCCTAGCTGAAAGTATCCTCCCTAACATGGGTTATCTGGTCATTCTTAAATGTGGATATTGTAGTTACTGTAATTTTCAGTCTCTGCTTTCTTCAAAACCACGCAAGATATTTTGTCACGAGAACCTAAAGGCCATTTGACACCAAATGTTTTTGTATGAAAAGACTGAACATCATTCTGGAACAAACATTTTTCTATGAATGCTTGCATACCAAGTCCGACAAAGTTGTATTGTCCTAATCCATCAATATTCATTGTGCTTTTTGAATAGAAAAAAAATAATTTCATTTGGTTTACAACACTAGCCTGTATTATTTGTTGACAAGGAATATTTTAAGCTGTTTGCATCTGTTCTGGTTGCTCATGTTATTTTGGATTCTCAATTTTCTAAGTTCTTACAATGTGCCTCTTGGATTAAACTATGGCTATTAATGTTTTTATTTTTGCTTGACTTTTGCTTGATATCTGTATACAATCAAAATCCAATAAGATCCAGTTAATATTGGAATGGGATTTGGAGTGATAATAGATGATTTTGCTGTAATGTTTTCAATATTAAGTTTGCTTATGCTGAAGAACCGTCTGAAACGGTCATAGTATCATTGTAACTTCTTGTGTTGACATTTTCTTAGAATTGGATGTATCCAGACTCTTCACCTTTTTCTTTTCACTTTTTTTGTTAAAAAGAATCAAGAAAAACTTCTCACTGCTGCTAGTGTCGTCGATGTATGGACCTCTTTTTGGTACGCAAACCAGTCAGTTGTGAAAATTTGACATCCTATTTCATATAAAAGTGTTTGGTCTGTGAAATTTGCATGCAAATATGTCACATTCGGTGTGAAACAGTCTTAAGAGACACGATTTTTGTTTTAACTCAGTTTTGATTAGACAGGTAGTTACTGTATTTTGCTTTTGTAGGGCAGCAGTTATACAGCAAATATAGAGAAAATCCATACAAATCATGGCTGATGGAAGCATCAACGAATCTCACACAACTATAAACTCAGTAACGGTGATCCACAGAGATGCCAGTTTGACTTTGACGTTGATCCTTGATAATATTGGCAATGCAACATCAGTTCCCCAGTTGAGTCCACACCGGCCAGCAGCTGCTGGGCTCACCTCTCCTTCTCAATGGCCTCCAGGTTGGCGCGTCCATCGTACCCAGGTGACGGGAAGACAAGTGTCACCCCATGTACCGCCATGCACATGCCTCCGCCGACGGCACCGAAGGTGTGGTACAGGGGCACCGGCACACACACTCTGACCTGAGGCTGGGGCGACAAGGGGTCAAGGGGTCAAAAGGTCAAAGGAGGCCCAGAGGCTTCCGTGCAACTTGACTAGGCTTCACGGGGGCGTAAACGTAAATAAGAGATCTACCCGCCAGTCAAACCCCACGCGTCGGCCAATGAAGTAGGAGTTGTTGATAATGTTGTGGTGAGACAAAGTGGCACCTTTGGGATTCCCGGTTGTTCCCTGTGAACAGAGACACACAGGCATGACTAATCAACAACCTATGCATGATGAGCCATTAAAGTATAATACTCATGCAGAATATGTCTGTGAATGTAAATCAAAATTACAAGAAAATATGCATATATAAGACGATAAGGGCTTCACTCTTAATCATAGTACACATTTGCAGGACTATGGAAAAGAATAAATCGGTATAATTTTCAACTGTAATGCCTTAGGTTAGGATTACTCAGTTATCTACTCATAAAACTACTTTACACACCTTGCTGCTGTATGCACACAAAATTCCCCCTGGGATCAATAAAGTTTATCTTATCTCTATAAACCCGCCCAGGACCCCCTGCCCCTACAGATTCCCTTTTCCTACGGCAACAGGGGTACCGATGTGAACTGGATGTTGATGGGATCGTCGCAGGACAGCTTCTTCTGCAGGGCCTCCAGCTCCTTCAGCTCCTCACTGCCCCCTGCCTGTAAGACGTCGTCCATGTGGAGCGCCCCCGGCTGGCGGCTGTCAGTCAGGACCACCATACGCATGTCCGGCAGCCTGGGACAATGAATCATGTGGTGGGGTTGATTCATACATGGTCTGTCTAACCCAGGCTTGCCAGTGTCTCTGTCGGAGGTATGTGGCTCTGCGAGTTAGGACCAGAAGGGTGTTGGTTCAAATCCCACAATGTTACCATTGGATCTTTGAGCAAGAGCCTTAAACCTAATTGCTCCAGGGACACTGTCTGACCCTGCTCTGCAATCCTCATTCGCTGGACAAAAGCATCTGCTAAATAAACAAATGTAAATGTGCCTGATCACGTACAGTACTATCCATAAATGCAGTGTTATTACTATTGGAGTTAGCATGTCACAACTGGCCAATGTTGGCTCTTCCTTTTGCATGTTGTCTTCTAGTTTTGCTGTGTTTGCATCATCCACTACAACCATCTGCTGAATAAGCAGTACAGAAGATTGACGGACGTTTGCATCAGCATCTCAAATTTTGTTTTTCCTTTCGGGGTGTTACAGTTTCACATGTGTTCGGACACGAGGGTGAGAAGAGTGAGGAGTCAGCATCCCGTGTGCAGTACCTGGTGCTCTTGAAGATTCCTTGCCTGGCCATCTCCATCTCCGGGCAGATCTTCTTCAGCATCTCGAAGTACTTCTGGGTCTTGAACTGGGTCGGGCACACCACTGCGTTGCACTGTACCTGCAGCCACGGGACCACCGGTGACATCAGCTAGTGAGATTTTCATGGTGCTTTTCTGGAAACGATGCCTTTTAGGTGCTCAGCTGGGGTTCTGCTACAAGTCCAGACTCTCATAAACTCATAGAGAGTCCAAAGATCGCCACAGTCCCACCCTGTGTCTCTCCACTCACCTTCCTCAGCGCAAACTCCACCTCCTGCAGCTGATAGGCTGGGTTCACAGACACCTGCAGAGAGATTACAGGAATGTGCAAATGCACTAGTTTGAGTGCGTGACTCTTGTATTCAGGATCATTTGTTTATTGACACCTGATTATTGAGGATTATAAATGTCCAACTGCATTCTGTGGCAGTGTTCCTACAGATAGGATATCAGGACCAGAGAAGAATCTATTCTGACAGGCCTTTCAGAATAACTTAAATTACAGCCAAGCTTGTTATTACAGTGGAATTTCCATTCAAAGTGTTTTGACCCACAGGTGCACAGGTCCTGGAGGAGTGTGGGAACTCACCAGCACGACTCCATACTTCGCTGTGGCAAATTGAAACAGGATCCACTCGTAAATGTTCGGCCCCCACATGCCGAGCTTGTCACCCTTCTTCAGCCCCAGAGCCAGTAGGCCAGCAGCTGCCTGGTCCACCTACCGATCAGGCAGCGGTAGCATGATAGTTATGGAGTGTAAGGTAGCTGATTCAAGTCCTGATGTTCAGCAAAGTATTAAGTTCTAAACCTAAACTTATCTGCAATCCTAAAGCCTATTCCAACACTAAAGGCATGCCTAATCCTAACCCCAAACCTAACCCTGACCCTAAAGACAACCCAAATCCTAATATAAGGAGCAGCCCACTGACCAAATGATGGAATCTACTTGGTCAGCTGTAAGCTCTGAATACATGCAGTTTCTCCTAAGCACTCCTGAAAAGTTACTTATCGTTTAAGGCTAAACCTAATTATCCTCCCCTGGATTTGACATACACCACCACCACCCCGGAATGTACTAGAGTCAGCAATATCAGACAAGCAAGAAATAATCAAATCAGTAAATATTTGCCAGGTAAGAACAATACACCAATCACAATTCAACAACATGACAGAGAGATCAACCTAAATTCTAACTGTACATCAACATGGTAGGGGTTGATTTTCTAATTTTACCTTGTGTACCTAGTGTAATATTTTTACTATGACGTGCTACTACAAACTCTTCTGAAATGACAACACGCCTCAGAAAGGTACTGCACACCACATTACCAGTCTAATATGACTGTTCCAGCAAATCCAGTATACATTGTGTGTGGTCATTATTCACCATCTGCTTGTCAAGGAATGCACTGAGATGTCAGTAAAAACAGATCAGGTGCACATTGCATGTATATATCTGTGACCTAATATGTAGCATGTCATTGTTCATTGGAGGAGGTCAAGACAATGACATTTCCCATGCCCCCATGCCCAGCTCAACAAGGCAACGCAAACATCTTAATAGAAGATTTTCTTTTGAACATGATACAGCCACTATGAAATGCAGAAGGAAAATATTGTTTTTGGACTGCAATCAGCTACTGGTACTCTTAAAAAAAATAAAAGCCACATTTCTGGCTCCACAGTGATCTTTGGGACAGTTTGGGGGTAAAAATAGCTGCAATGTAACCTAACGAAAATGCATATAACTCTTGTAGACTAGTTGGTCATGGAATTCTGACACAGACAGATCTGGAAACTCACGTCCTGCTGGAATTGTGCAAAGGTCTTCCGGATGCCATCCTTCATGAACACCACGGCTTCGCGATCCGGCCAGCGGTCCACTGTGGCCTGCAGGGCCTGGGGCACGGTGCAGGAGAGGAGGGAGATGGTGGAGGTGCCATGCACGTAGCTGGTGGTGACCGTGGGTATGCAGGGGGGGGTGTCCACATGTAGGGTCCTGAGAGGGGGGTAGGAGCAGAAAGGTTTAACTCAGTCTCCCAGCATGTGATATGTGAAGGGTCACATACAGTCACTAAGTGTAAAATTCATAAAGAAAAACTGCCGCCTGCCCCACACATTGTAGTGAGTGTTTTGTGGCCAAAACGCCACCCCCCCCACCCCCCCTCCTTGTCAGGGACCCTGCATAAATCCCTGGAGTCTCTAGGTGTGTAATTCTACTTATGTATCTCCAACTGAACGACATTCAAGACTAAGATTTACTATAGGAAAAGTTAGAAACCATTACAACGCGTGTGTGTTTTTCTTCCATTGTTGTGCAGCGGTTCGGGCCACCCAGACCCCACCCCACCCCACCCCACCATTTTCAGCAACCGCGAACTTCGCGTACTTAACTAAGCTTCCCTCATCTTTCCTGCAGATATGTCCGAATTTGCCAGTAATTTCCTGATGTAAAGTCGGTGAATAGACCACAGAAATGTAAATACATACAGCAGCCTAACGTAAACAAATAAGATTATTCATAAACGTCCGTATTGAAGTCGCAAATTACATGGTTCGGTTGACTTGTGATAGTCGTGCTTACACCAAGGTTAATCCTTAAGAAAGCAAATAAAGTAAAGCCCTATACGAAATCCTTATCATTCATATAAAAATAGAGTTTGCAAAGCCGACAAAGCAAAGTTTTAATCAACACTTACTTACCGACACATTTGATATGACAGACCTCCAGACTTCCAAAGCGCCCACAAACATTCTGCACGCTTAGAAAAATTAATCCTGGACTTAAGGGGTGAAAACACAATCCTAGCTGACATCGTCTATGTTTAGTTAACTTGCTTTAAATTGATAGCAAGTGCAAAGCGAAAGTAAGCAAATTGCGGAATTCTGCAAATAATAATAATAATTTAAAAAAACGCGCTCGTATCCACCGCGGTCACAGAAGCGGTGCAGAAATGTAGCATGCCATGTATCTGTTTTTTAAAGGAAGTTGTTAGTTTCTCCAAGAGTTTCCGCACAGATCTACGACTTTTCGAGCCCGATTTGCGGATGTGCCTTTATAAACAGGCGGCGCTCTGATGTTAGTTTTCACCTCTGACCGCCACGAGACAGAACCCGTCGTTTTGGCGTCTGATTGGACGGCTGAGGCATTCCAGATGTTTGGCGTCACGCGCGGGACCGCTTTTATATGTGTACAGGGGCGCAGTAGAGCCGGGGCGCCCACCACTTTGCAGGGGCTCTTAAATACATAAGATTGTAAACTTATTGGGGAAAGTGGTAGAATTTCTAGCTACGCCGCTGTATGTATACAATATAACCCGAAAACTGAGATGCTCAACAGCAGAAGCTGCGAATAGCTTATACAAATGTGTAAATATTGCATCAATCCTGGGAAGCATTTTTAAGGGAGTCCAGGGTTTGATGCCCTCCACGTCATGCTTCTCGGCCAAGGTGCAGTATGAAAAGCTTAGTGAAATATCAGATGTAACTCATTAATTTCTGTATATTTTTCCAATAGAGATCTAATTTTTAACCAGTTTGGGGTTAAGGGGTTACCGATGAATGTACAGGAAGGTTATATCACCTTCTAAAGCTGCAGCAGTGAGTTTGTTGTTGACGCTTAAAACAGTAATTGAATGCGACGAAAGCCAAAACACCAGAATGCTTTGTGGGTAAAGTTACATTTTTAGACTTAGTTTGTAAACACGATATAGATTTAGCGTCAACTTGTAAGTCAAGAAACAACTTGTATAGGACATTGGACTTTAGATGCGTCTTTAAAAGACCCTAATTGACTGGAGTAAAGTCAGCATTGAGAAATGAATACATCTTCTTTGTATTTATTCTGTTAACACAATACAAAAAACAAGGAAACTCCACATTCACAAGTTCGAATATATTTGTGAAATTACGTACACGCCTTGGTTATTCAATTACTACATCCAATAAATCGTAATATTGCGAAATAATCCAGTTCCTGTCGCGCATTCACACGCGCCTTGGGCTTTTGATGGTCCGCAACGTTTCAAAATAAAAGTCCCACATGGAACATTTTGAAGCTCCTTCCCAAAGTGTGATATACTTATACTCAGAACCATATACGGGGCCCACTAACACTGGTGAAACTGTAAATAATAATATAAGTAAACATCCATTATTTTTTATATAGGTGGAACAAAAGGGCACCCAAATGCTGCGAAGCCAAATAACCCAGAACCTGCATTTTAGTTTGTGGTCAACGGACATGAAAAACCTCCACGGTTTCGTACACATTGGCACTTGTGAAACTTTGTGAAATTAACTTAAATAGCCCATATCCGTTATTTCTAATTTCAGGTGGCATATAGACCATCCTCATGCTCTAAAGATGCAGAAAACAGCAACTAAAATTCATCTTGCGGTCGAAGAGCATGATGAGACCTATGAATACCATACACTTTAGCACGTGCGAAACCCGTGCACAGTTTCTGAAGCTAAATTATGTGCCTGCAAACTAATTCTCATTGTACCTGTGCGCTGCTCAGGCGCTGTTCAGCTTGTGGTCAAAGGACCTGAATAACGCAACGCGTTTCATGCACTTTGGCTCTTGGTAAACCTGTAGGTAACTGCGTAGGTCTGACTGATTTGTGTAGGTCCAGTGATGATCCTCAACCACAAGAAAATGGCTAAGTTTTGCCTTTAGACCATTATGATGGCCTATATGCCACCTGCAAAGAAAATAGTGAATATGAGGCACATAAGTTAATTTCCTAAATTACCTACAGGTTTCACCATTGTCAGAGTGCATGATATGTGTAATATCAAACCCACTTAACTGTACTCTGGTTCTAAATCAATGCGATCAAGTCTAATGGGTTTCAAAGACGTCATTTTAGGTTCATGCAGATTTACCATATATATGTATGTGTGTGTGTGTGTGTGTGTGTGTGTGTGTGTGTGTGTGTTAATGCATCATTTCATCATTTAGCAAACATCCAAACTCAGAAATGACATAAAACTAGAATAAAACGGTTTGCAGATCTATGGTTACACCAGGCATGATACTCAGGAGATTTTGAGTAGTTCTCAGTTTAGCTGTAATCTTTTCATAACCCCTCAGCTTTCATACTGCTTGTCACGTCAACATGGAGTTGAATAGAGTGTCATCAAAGACATTTTGCTGATTTATGAGAAGTCCGGCCTTGTAAAAATACACCACAAAGAAGCAGAAATACAGGGATAATAGTACATCTGGGACTTCCATTCTTAGTCTGAATACGTGTTTAACTGGTTATTAGGTATTTCTGGAGGTCAGTGAGTTGATGGGTGCACACTCCATGGTGCACGTCCTTAGACTCTGAGAGGGTGGAATTTTATATGAAATGTGTGATACAGGAATGACAAAATTTCAGAAGAGATACTTGTGTTATGTAACAACAACCCTTAATCATTACTGGCTGTTCGTGCCCCAAAATGAAATTATCCATTACTGAAGCGTTAACCAATTAATATTGCATATTAATTAGGTAATTAGGTGGTTAATCCAAATTATTGTACTCAGTTGGAATTTATGTTTTATAATAAAGTAATGGTAACTATTTTAATAAACGTGACATGAATCTCTTATTCATTAGTGGTTATGTGTCTAGTAGTTATGAGTAACGTACGTGTACCATGTTTTCAACATGAAACTGGGCTGTACTGGCCATTTGGCATATCAGGCAATTTTGGGTATGTGGACCCAAGACCCCAAAAGTCCAGGGCCGATTTTTGATCCCAGTCCAGCCCAGTGAAACATACATTCATTTTGATCGAAGCATCTAGGTCAACAAAATGACTTCAGTCGCTGCACTGATTCGCTCATTTCATTACATCCTTTTGATGAGTGACTCACCGTTCTGTTTGGTAATGAGTGATGAGTGAATTAGATTATGCCGTTCAAGTCTTTCTCGCCACGCCCTGGTGTAATAATGTGCTGACATCTGGGAGACTTCAAATTTGACAATTTATAGACGTTCGTATTGACCAAAAGGCTGCTTCATGAACCATTTGTGCTGAGAGCACCATCCAGTGGGGTCAGAAAACACAACAAATGGTTCCGGAAGCATTTCGGCCATCACTAATATCCATATGCATATATGTATGCGTATGCATATGTACGTGTGTGTTCCTAACTAGTCGATGGGGGAAAAAAAACTACGACAGCTAATCAACTTTACTAGAGATAAAGATACAAAATGTGTACATCTTATCATAGCAAGCACAGCCATAATAAGGAACAAATGTCCTTGTGGCAGAAGTGTGACATTTTGTAGAAACACTGTGAATCAATGTGAAGGCTAATCACTGCAAATCACAATATAAAATTCTTCAACCACGGAAAACACAGAACATGATCAAAAACAAATTATAGCAATGATGGTCAGCACAATAATCATAAATTTAGAAAATCGCTTACTGGGAATTTTAGATACACTTCATTGATCCCAAGCATAGATTCCAAGAGTAAATTTCCAAAGATCCAACTTTTTGTTCTTAAAGAACATTTAACTGTAAAATTATGGGAAATGTTTTTTATTCCACATTTTTTTGTGTCCATAGACGAATAACTTTTTGTAAGAAGTGTGCTTTGTAAATATTATTCAAAATCTTGATTAAACCTAAAATGAAAACCCATGTCAAGATTAGGTGTGGGAGTCGTTTGGTTAATATTCATATTACAAATCGGCATGTGTGTATGGAAGATGTCACTTCCAGAAAACATAAACCCACATTAGCATTTTTGACACTGCAGCAACAGTCGATCATATGGTGACCATACAGTTAACATTCAACACCACGCTTACAGCAGACTCACACTTTCCACTGAAACAAACATGTAGCAGGGTCAGGAAATGTAATATGAGGCACATATGGTTTTTCCCGTGCGTTAAATTCTAACAAACTTCTATCACTAAATCCAAAATCACTTTACCTAAAGGCCTAAGCTAAAATTTCCAGTAAATAGTAGAGATTCCTCCAAGTTTAAATGGTGCAACGCTACATAGCTATTTCCTGACATCATTTAGGTAACACTTTACTTGACGCAGCACAAATACTTAGTAATAACTGAGTTATTACTGAATTACAAATCATGAATAAATACAGTTGCTACTTGAGATAAGATGTGTCAATTCATTAATGAACAAATACGAGATCAGTATTTCACTTGTGTTATTCATGACTTGTTCCTTCAATAGTTCTTTCAGTAGTTCACAAAGGTTTACAGAATAAACAGATACAGAAACAAATATAATTGCTTGGGATAAATCATGCATCATGATTCATTAATGATGAATTAACATGAGATCCATATGTAACAGACTTAGTTTGTGGTTAATTAATACATAAGTAATAGTATACAGTAATAGTATTTGTGCCATATCAAATATAGTGTTACATATCACTTATAAGATTCCCTTGTACAGGTGATCTTTGTGGTGACAAATCAATCTTGTCACACTTAGAGTATAAGATAATGTCTGCATTGTGGTAGGAGGTAACCATTGGAAACTGGTTCGTCACCACAACATGATGCTAGAACATTTTCTTAAAACCATCTGTCTCATACAGATGCATTCAGTCTGGTTACAAAGGCACAGTTGGCACAGGGACGATATCCCTCAAAAAATAACTGCTGCCTGATTCAAGTTTATCTGCTAAAATGCAGCCAATAGTCACGGCCCTGTTTCTCTGGTGCACTGAAGAACTACTCACTCATTGCCCTGAAGAGGGACAATGAGAAAAGAAACATATTAAAGAAATTTAAGGCTTTCCATTCAAATGGAAAAATTGTCAAAAAAAAATGTGTATTTTAACATTGTCCCCTAAAAAACCTAAAATACACTATTAATTAGTACTTGCCTACAGTAGATGCCTGTTCATAGTTTAAGGTTCATTGAAGCGTGCCTACTGGAAATAACTTCATTCCTGACCTAGTGCACTATAAGTTAAAAGTTTGTACGTTAATGTCTCACTTTGGCGTTCTACACCTCTGGCACTGACCACGTAAAACCATTTCTAAGATGGTCTCTCAGTTGCAGATTACATACAGGCCTAGCCTGTTATGCCTGGGGTTCAAACTATCTGAGCCCCAATAAGCCCCATTAAGCTTAAAAAAATATCTAAATCACCTAAGTGTGCAGAACCATGTACCCACCATGTGCGTTAAAGACATTTGATCATCCTTAAACAGAAGGAATGGTTCAAAAGACTCGATAAGGTGTCAAAGGACTCAGACTCCTTGTTAAACTCCTTGAACATCAGCAGGCAACATTTGCTGGGATGACAATAATGTCAAAGTCACAGCAGATGCGCGAGTGTGATGCGGCTCACACGTGGTGACATGGCTCACACGCTGGTGACGTGCATCTCGGCCGCTGGGCCTTTCTCTCCCTTTGCAGGGATGTTGCTGTACTCGCAGTGGGAGGAAAGAGCAGCAAGGGGATTGGACGGCTGCGGGGGACGGCCCTTCACGCCTGCGTCGCCCTCTCTGTCCAGCCAATAGAAGGACACCATGAGGTAGATGGCTGACATGGACACCGACACAGCGCAGGCGTAGAACACGTAGGTGTACTGGCCCGTGCGGTCCACCAGCAACCCTGGAACAAAGCAAAGCATGAAGATTTAGCCCCTGGAACATTAACAGTATATCTGAGACAAACACTCAGGTGGTCCCGTGACATCATAGAGCATTTTTGGTTGCCATGGCACTGGGAACCAGAGAAGGTCTCCCAATGACCCCCCAGAATGCAACTGCATGAAGCCCTCAGCAGCCTACCCTCCCCCACCCACAACTTACCATGCAATTCTTGGAACTGAGTGTTTGGGAACACAAGCCGAGACTTGCTTAGCAACCACTGGCTAGAGAAGGACCAGAGAGAACAGGCATACATGCACACACACTATATATGTATATATATTAACATACACAGTCACACACATACGCACACAGTGAGAGGCATGTGCTGTATATGGAGAAAGGTAAACAGGAAACCCAAGAGAGATCAGGGTCCTCTACCTGCCAAGGGAGGGCCCACCAAGATGGTGGTACTCTCCATCATGGTGAGCAGACCCAGCGCGGCGGGGAAGCGGCTCATCTCGATGACGTCCATGAGCACGGTGAAGATGAGCGAGCCCACCACGCTGATGGAGACCCCGAAGACCAGCACGTAGGCCAACAGCGTGCTGAAACTGGTCTCCAGGCAGCAGATGCAGTTGCTGAGCCCGTTGATGAGCAGGGCGACGGCGAAGACGTACGCAAAGACGTGGCGGCCCCGGAACCAGGGCAGCGCGAAGAGCAGGCCGGCTAGAGGGCGGATGAAAATGTTGACGAAGCCCAGAATGGCGAGCAGTAGGGCGGCCTGGCCGTGCCCCAAGCCTTGGGAAGTGGCGTAGGGCACTAGGTACACCAGCGGTACCAAGAAACCCAACATCATCCAGGTGACGCACAGAGCATAGGCTCTGTACCGCTTGTTGCTACAGAAGAGGTCAAAGGCCAGATACTTGCGCAGAAAGTCCTTGAGGAGACCCCTGGTGGTCGCCGCACTTCCCTTCGCCTCCCGCCGCCGTTGCTTGCTCGCCACGCTGCGTCCTCCCCCGACGGGCCTCATGACGGCGCCACACACGCAGCAGTTCAGCAGAATCCCCCCCAGCACCAGGAAGCTGCCCCTCCAGTCCAGTTGGCTGAGCAGAAAGTGGGAGAGCAGGGGCAGGACGCTCAGGCCGACGGCGGTGCCCGTGGACGACATGGCGTTGGCGAACGCCCGACGCCGCACGAAGTAGTGACCCATCATGGTGACGGCCGGCTGGAAGGAGAAGCAGAAGCCCAACCCTGGGGAGACACGAGATCCATCCATCGTACAACTGCTCAACTGAATCAGGATCACGGGGGGCGGGTGGGGGGGGGGGCTGGAGCTTATCCCAGGCAGCATAGGGCACAATGTTGGGACACACCCTGAATGGGATGCCAGTCCATCAGAGGGCACACATACACAGCCATATGCCATGGGCATATGAGATGCCAATTAGCCTGCCGGTATGTCTTCGGACTGCGTGAGGAAACCGGAGTGCCCAGAGGAATCCCGCGTAACGGCCGTCTCCTACCCACTGTGGCGCTGTGGTTTTTCCCACTCAGGTTCAGGTTCAGGCCCTCGCCAAACTGTCACCAGTTCCCTGGACCTCGAGTAAGCCCTTACATTTAAAGAGACAGTACATCATACACGATTTATTTTACTCAATGATTTAAGTACACCTACAAAGTACTTGCATTCTGTCAACCCATTTGGTGACATGGGCGGCTGCCTAGGGCACCATCTTCTGAGGGGGCGCTGACTTAGCCAGCCTGTTTCGCTTTGTCTCACACAGGGGTGGCCGCTGCTGAAACTTGCCTAGGGAGCCACTAAGGTAGCTACTCGGAAAACACAACCACAGGAGGCAATAACAGACCCAGAGGGCTCAGTCAGAACTTGCCGTCTGTCACGCATCTCACTTGGGGAAAACCTGGATGTCATGGAAACGGGAAGGATGTCTAGGTAACGGACGTCTAACCTGTGATGACGCCGGCGGTGACGTAAAGCTCCGTCAGGGTGCTTGTGAAGGAGCTGGCCGCCATGCCCAGCCCACTCAAGACCCCACCAATCATCACGGTTGCCCGGCAACCATATCTCTCCACCAGCACACTGCATAAGGGGCCTGCAGGGACAAGGAGGTCATAGTATCTGTGTTAAACACAAATGCACGTATCATTCACACAAAAACACATGGTGCCTCACCCTAACCCAGAGTATCTGTCTCTCTTGTTCTCCTACAGAGTATAGTTTTCTCTGCTGCAAGAGGCCCACAAATCACACAGGCAAACACCACAATCCGCATGACAGCTCATCACCAGAAACACCAACAACAGATCTTTTAGTTTAATTTACCATGTACCGTTAGGGCCCCTCATGGCCAAGCACTCTGCTGACTTTCTTTTTAGGTTAACACTGATTTAATTCCATTACGTATTTAATTCACTCTGTAGAATTAAGGTACAAACCTTTATACAAATAACATGAAATAAACATCACAGACAAAACAAAATCAGCTGGAAATCATGTGAATGTGCTACAAGGACAACAACCACAATTTCTAAAATTGAACAGTGTCTCTCTCTCTCTAATGTATACATAAACACACACACAGTCATGGAATCATATCTTTTTGGGGGCCGCTCATTCATTTCTATGGGAAAAATGCTAATGCTAACTATGACAACCTTAACCCCTATCCAGCCCTAACCATAACCATAAGGAAACTGGTCCCCATAAAGTTAAAAAAAAAAAACAACAAAAAAAACAGGTATTCATCATGTTGTGGGGACATTTGGTCCCCACAAAGTAAGGCATACCTGGACCCCACACACACACACACACAGGTGTGGAAAAAATGAGACCACTCTGTATTTTTTAAACAAATCCGCATTTTTAAATCCTGGTTTAATCCTGGGCCTGCTGGCAGAAGGCTACACTGCGCGGCAGGCTGCTTCCAGGCTCAGTATCAACAGCAGCTCACAAGAAGAAGGTGAAGCAGGAGACACTGGGAATGACCAGAAACCAGGCAGGTAGAGGGCAGAGGTGACTCTCTATTGCCAGAGGTGACCGTCAACTTATCCGACAGCACCTCATGAATCGGAGGATGACCTCAAGTGACCTTCAAAAGGAATGGGAAAAATTAAGTGCAGATGTGAAGTGCACTGCTAGTTCATATCAAGCTCCTAGAAGCAGGACTGAAGTCCCATACAGCAAGGAAGAAGCCCTTCATTAACGAGAAACAGGGAAGAACCAGGATGCAGTTTATAAAGGAAAATATATTATTCACAGACTCACACCCATAAACTGAGAAATGAGTGAAACAAAACATTGTGCTGTGGTCTCAATTTTTTCAATGGCTGTGTGTGTATGTATGTATGTATGTATGTGTGTGTGTGTGTGTGTGTGTGTGTGTGTGTATATATATATATATATATAAACACAAATTCCAACATCTGCTTCCCCCATAATTTTGCCTTCATCACCTTCTTGAGCCTTTCTGCTCCCACCTCAGGCTACCCTGCATAAACACCTACACAACACAGGTGGGGTCCTATTAAACAGTTGTTCCTCACACTAAGAACCATTTTGTACTGATGGAAGTATTCCCTGGCTCAGTTGTCAGGTAGGAGTTAACTAAACAAACATCGCTGGGGAGACTTAGGTTCTCCTCTGCAGTGGATCAAAATTGTTTCGCAGGATTATTACTGACTCTTGACTTTAGTATAATTTAGAATAATCCCTAAGCCCCCCCCCCCCCATCTCCCAAGGTGAACAATTGCCTCCCACCTGTTTTTAAGATCTACCAAGTACTGACTGGAGGAAAACAAGCCCTCAGTCAACAGACTGTGAACCAGGAGACCTGTTCCCAACATACTTATCACCCAGGGGAATTGCTGGTCTCCTAGAGTTGCAAAGCAGCAGGAACTGTTCCCAGTCACCCTGACTTCTTTCCACAATTGTTATCTCATATTATCAAAAGGCACTGCAAACTTTGTATGATTTAAGAGCAATGCTATGCCTCATTCCTCTGGATCACAAAGTAAAGACTATGTGTGCATTCAATTTAATAGGCTAATCAAGTAGGCTTATCACCTGGCACTCTTGTTTAAACAGGGTGTGGACTTAAATGATACAACCATAATGTATATCATATATTATTTAGTCGTGAAGGGAGCTTTTTTGATGTATACTTGTAGCTAAGTTTTCAAAGAGCTAGAACACTTGTCACGCAACACATATGCTGAGTCATATTTCCCACAATCCTCCATGTGAAGGCACGCCGACTCAGGAATACCTCCAGCATGTAGCATTGCTGTCATGATAGAGGGCACCCAGGAGGTCTCCGTGTTGCTGGCTTCAAATTCAGTCTGCAGCTCTGTGTAGAAGATGCCAAGGCAGGAGGGGAAGGCTACAGTCAGCGCCAGCACCACGCTGGTGGCCATCAAAACCACCCAGCCCCACCCGCCATCTGGCGCCACCTGCTGCGTGCTGCTGCAACCACCCTGCTCCACTGTGGCACTGTGGGGAATAATGAGGGTCCCCCCGATGTCCTCTTCTTCATGATCTTCAGGGTCACCGTCTTGAGTGCCCCCAGTCCCGTCCCCTCCTGCGCTCGACGTCACAGAGTGTTTTCTCCATGTTACTGGATCCTGACACGAGTTGCTGACGCCAGTAATGGAGACCATGCCGTCCGCACCGTGCTCGGCGATCTGCCGCATCTCCCCCGTCAGCGGCTCAGTTACGCCGTCAGCGCGGCTCCTGTGCGGCACATGCCAAGCAAAGTTATGATTCACCAAGAGTGTCCCGTTAGAAATGTTTACGCATAATTGGAAACAAGCAACAAATGTCATTAACTAAATCCTTAATACTTACGTTTTCATTGAAAACACTTAAGTATAACGAAAGATTAAAGTATATAGCCTCGTATTAATCATATAATTAGGTTTTAAGATAAACATTTAAGTGAACTGTACACAAGCACGTACAAATGTACAAAAATATTTCTCATCCATGACAAACAAATCACAACTTTATATCACGACCTCAGGTAATGACCAGAGTTTTGAAACACTCGAAAAAAATGTTTTTCTTCTGTAGTTTTACACGATATTTAATCGCAAAAGGGTATGTTCTATTACACATGATGTTGTTTTGATAACTATGCTTAGCTTTTCTCTGCACTTAGTTAAATATTAACATTCACCTGGATCGATTGCGCTTCAAATCCACATTTACCTTTCTACATCATGGGTCGCACTTGTTTATTTGCTGCGATCCTGTCTTTCCTCCAGCGGTGACTCCACTTCTGCCGTCACCAGCTTATATCCGTGTTCATGAAACGCACCATCAGCTGCTGAAACCAGTCCGACCGGCGTTGCGTAATCCCCCCTTCACCTCGAAAGCATTACCCGCTTTTATGCTGATTTTCTATATAAGAATACTTCTTATAAAAAAACTACACACACCGACAAGCACAAAAACCCGGAGGGACCAGAATAACCGTGCGATCTAGTACGAAAACGCGTAGATAATCTGCTTTTGGCATTGCAATAATTCCAAATTCCACCGTTTATTTATAGCTGCGCGACGCAGTATTTAAAACACCATCCTGGAGGTCATTGCAATGGATCACACTGCAAATACAAGTCCAGTCGAACTGATATTTTATTTTATTCCGGAGTACGATCGTCGTCCAGTCGGGCGTTTTTCCGCGCGTCTCCATGGGAACATTGTAGCACCTGGACGGCAGACAGCACATTGAGTGCGTCAAATTTAATTAACGCAAACAAAGACTGAATTAATTAATCAAATCGCACAATACTTTACTATGCAACTCCATGTGAACGTTTTAAAACGCGTGGATTTACGCTGAAGGTCGAAAAGGAGTATACAGTGCTTATCATCACGATTGCAGTACGTACTGAACATGAAAGTATAGTATGGGTCCTGTGTTGGAAAGGTTATTTAAGGGGGAAGTTGTGGTAACATTACAACAGTGGTTGTACTGTTGTGGTTGCAGTATTGAAGCACAGAACACTGTCTACTGCCAGCAATGCAAACGTGCTCGCGGCTTCTAAAGTGCATTGGCAGCATGCACGTGCGGGGGGGTAGCGATGCCGACTTCGCAATTTTGTTGCTAGATTTAGGTATTAGATCTGATCATTAAAATGTGTTTATATTACTTTAAAAAAGGAAATATGTAATAATGCATATATATAAACTAAGTGTGAGTAGCTCAGCGGGATAAATAATGAATCCAAAGTTCCGGGGATCGGAATACCGGTTCGGGATCCGGCATCGGCCGAATAGGCACGTCCATGGGTCCTTAAGTCAGGCCCTTAACCACCAGCTCCAGGGGCCGCATTTCGGCTGACCATGCGCTGTACACCCACCCCAATGGAGACAAAGATGGGCGAGGTACTTGTGCAAGTGGCAAATAAAGGATTTAATCTTTTAAAAACAAATTTCTAATCATATTTTTCATCAAGATGACCAAGAAGTCCAATTTGTTATTGACTTAGTTCAGTGGCTGGTATCACAATGAACGAAAAGCGTATATCTATCAATACATTGGATTTACTATAAGTATTCACAGATTATATGCCTATGCGAGACGACTATTAATCGGAAAACATGGGACACGTTTTCCATTAAAAAACGGAGTTTTCAGCAAATAGGATTAAACGATAAGTGTCAATGGAGGGCAGCCATCACCAACTTCTGATCACCTGTAAAACAAGTGCAGTGCCCAAAACGGACAGTCCAATTGCCGTATCTGAAGGAACTTACCGTTTCGGTTATTCCTGACAACCTGACTCTTCGTATAAAGTAAGACGAAACACTGTGAATCGTTGCATACATGTAGTTGACTACTATACTCTCAATCTGCATACTGTGAGCATGTTTCTAATATTTTTCAGACGCTGCAATGACACAAGGTGGATGAATGCATGCATCTGACACCCTGGAATACAGAATACGCGCTTTTCCTGGTTCTCTGCTTTTAAAAATGTCACCGTATCTTTCTGTCCGCACTATGCTTATATAGTCAGATGTTTCTGACATGCTTACCTCCATCTTAGCGGAGACTCCCGTCCCATTCCGCAACCCTCCTCACTGACACCGCCGTCGGGTCCGAGGCACCGCAGCATTCAGCACTTCCACATGGGAGCTCCTCCCATGGATGATATACGACCGACCCAACCCACATACTATGATAAATTAATTTTAGTGGGCGTGCACCGTCGTGCTTCGCGTGTTTAACGAGAGCTAAGAAATATAAATCGCTTCGCTATAAATCTGTCATCCAATGGCATATTTATATAGCCTAGAGTATTCCGGCCGTGTTTGGGCAAAGGTACATGCCTGAAAGCTAAATTCTATAATCGGTGTCAATGTATTGCTTCTAAAACGGAAATGTAATATTTACGTGGGACTGTGTTTTCGGGATTATTATCCTCAGTGAGAACGACCTGTTAAAAGCAGTCTAAAAATAACAGGTGTGTCTTGTGAAGGATACAACGACTGGTTCAGTAACTATAGCTGAGTTCCTGAGTGTTTTTCCTAAATCATTTATCGCAAAACGAGGTAAAAAAAATATGTTTGGAATAAGAGACCCCTGTTGGATATCAGTATTCGGCAATATTTTTCTCAGATGCCACTGACGTCCACATTTATTTCTCCTGCTCAGGTTTTTCCCAGGCTTCAGATAAGAGTTCACGAAGTTCACTTAAACAGCTTCGTAAATAATGCAGTGTGACGTATTATATCATTCGAACAAAAGTTTTTGCTCATCAAACATGTAAACGTGTTTGTTTGTTCAGACTTCTCTGGCTAGGACTTCTGGTTCTGTATTGGATTACTTTCGAAGAACAACCGCATATTTTACTGACAAGAAAAGGTTCGTTTCCCGACATCGAGAGGATCCCATTACGCGTTTTGTACATCTTATATCAGGCTTGTTTAAACCTCTGAAGACCAACACAAAATAAGGAAAAGGCATATGCTATTTTATCTATGCATTTTATCCATTTTCCAGTCTGTCCCAGGATGCACAAGTCTGGATGTCAGTCCATTGTAGAGTACACATACAGACATACAATCTACAGGTAATTTATAAACACCAATCGCCATAATTGCCCGGAGAGACCAACACAACATAGTGAGAACATTCAAACTCTACGGAGGTCGAGAAGAAGTGGTATTAAATCCACCAACCCTGGTGCTACCACAATGAACCACCAAGATATCCATCTATACAATATGGATATATTTACAAAATATTCATATTAAAACGTGAATATAAATATGATCAGATTGAAGGACGTGCAGTAACCAGGAGAGACCCGTTCACTAAATACTCACAGGCGATGCAGAATGTTTACATGAAGCAGACCATCTTCACTCCATGGACGGTGCGTGGGCTGTCAAAACCACGCAGCTAGAACCACAACTGACTGGTTCCACATCACGATCATCTGACTTTCATCTGAATTTGTCAAGTACCACCCTGATTTCAAAGCAAGCGGAAGCTATTGGCTTGAGTGTCGGGTCAGGAAACGTGGTCTGTTCAGGAAAACAGAGGAGCCTCGGTAAAACAAGATATCCACTCGCCTCCATTGACAACTCTGGCTGCCTTTAAATATAGAGAGTGAGCTGGCATTCAAGTAGCGGTCAGACCAGGGAAGGAATCAGCCCCGATACTCACCCGTTTCCATCCCTTTCAGGCACTCCGTGCGACACTCGTGACTTTGCACGACCCCAGTTTACCCCTGATTGTTCTCACATCCTATACACAGGAAAGCGGAGTCCTTCGGGTACAATGCTCAGTATCTCCAATGCTGCCAAAGTCAATTGCCCATTGTTACACACTTACTGTTTTCCATACACGTTTAGTTAAAGTAGGACAACATGTACCTCCAAAAGATTCCTGGACCTAGCAAACACCACACTTACCAACTTACTTCCTAACCCTGAATGCAAACAATGGCTGAAATAAGAATGCCACACAGTTTTTGTTTTTTTTTTTTTTTAAACACAGGATCACAGTTTATATTAAAAATGCACATCTTTAGTTTAAATAGTACATTAAACGTTACAAAAACTGCATCAGTAGGTTGAAAATAAATACAAGGTGAAGGATGTTCAGACCAAGACAGCTGAAGTTTAAGAACACTGAATCGACAACTCAACTTTTGACATCGATACGGGGAAGAAATAATCACATTCCAAACGACTTAACAAACGGGTTAAGAGTTTTAGCACGTGTCAAAGTATGTGTGTATATAATGTGCAAGTGCAGCATGCGTGTATTAATGTTTGACATGCAATGGCGTGGCGGCGTGAGAGGGGGCTTGCGCGGTGTGTCCCTAACATTGGCCTTCCCATTATCCCCATCAGCTTTTGGAGGCTGTACCGACCAGGGGAATGCAACGTACAAACGTCTGGCAGAGGGGATTGTGGGAGATGAAGTGCACGACGTGAGGGTGAGCTCTGGACTTCACCTCCCATCAGACTCGTTACCTACCAATGCACTTAAGTATGCAATTCTGAGTTCGACACATTTACAGCACAAAAAAAAAGGGGGGGGAGCAACTGCCTCTTAAGGAAATTTGCCAGAACCTCTTAGCTCTTTCTTGGTTAAATACATGTTCAGATATTAAAAACAGGAAAACTGAAACAAAGAAAAATGACTATAAATAAATAAATACAGACTACTTATGCACGCAATTCCAAATATAAATACTAATACACTTTAAACCTTGACTTGCAAGTTTCTGCGTATTTTGGATTTTTATTTCAGACAAAAATACCCACATTTGGTGTAAGGTTTTATAATTGGTTTTACTGCATGGTTTGCAGAAATGGTTTGGTCTGAGATGTTGGTATAAGCTATCAATGTTTTATGCTTTATGTTACAGATTGGCACAAAATTCTTACAAGGGGCAAAATGGCTGCCTTCACACGAAAGCTTGTACCCTCTGATAAAAAAAAAAAATGCAAACCAAGTTGTTAAACACTTTCATAGTTCACACGTGCAATATAAGTCTGGTGTGATAACTTAAAGAAATGCAATACGTACGGCCTATCTTCACTAGCGCGGGGACCACAAGCAGTGACAAGTACGGCTGAGTGTAAACACCAGTTATAGCATTTTTCCATGATCGTCGAGGAAGTCAAGGTCAAACTTTAAGTGCTGTTGCAATGGAAGGCAAAGTAAAAGTACGTGATTATATAAAATACAATGGTTGAGATTCCATCCCCAGACGTCTTAAAGGTACAGAAAAATAAAGGCTGATCGTGTGGATGAATGACCCTCAACCATCAGCTATTGATGTGAAAAGGCAGCTACTCATGACCTGACCTTCATTCCTCCCCCAAACCCTAGTTGAATGTCTCCATGACAACTCAAGCCTGACCCCACCTATAGTATGTAGATGTGAGGCCCGGTGCTGAGCTCCGAATCACTAGGTTCACAAATGCCATGGATGCTGGGGGTCTGTGGGTCTTCGAGGGGCCTGGGGGCTAAACTCAGTCAGTAAGGCGGAGCCCAATGAAATGTAGCTCTGCAAATGTGTGGCCTGTTGCAGAAAACGGGGCAACAGGCATCGCAGCGATACAAAAGGACAAAAGGCGAATCACTGAAACGGGTACAGGTCGACAAGGTTGGACTCCGTAATCCTTCCTTCCTAGTGTAATGACAGTGATGAACTGAAACACAAGACCGCGAACTCTCATGGGGCGAACCTGGTGGTAATACAATCACCGAACGAACAGGGAGTACGTTCCGGAACGCTCCGAGATGGAGCTCGAGCTGCAAGTGTCACAACACCAGACTTGGCACATCACGACAGATTGACCGGGGGAACATCACGATGCTTAGGATCTGCCCCGAGGCTACAAAAGCACATCCCAGGCACTCTGAGAGGGAGCCTCAAAATATCTGTCCAGGTTCCCCCACCTGTGATGCTGGAGAATTTCCCCCCAATTTCTCATTTTTAAGCTCGGCCCAAAAAAAAAAAAAAAAAAAAACACCTAAATCCTGACATCTTCCATATTAAAACACTTTCTTTGAAATTCATGCCACAACATCAGGTAACTGCTTCACATCTACGTTTCGAATGAAAAAGGAAAGGGGTGGGCGATCGAAGTCAAACGTCGTACTTCAAGGGCGCTAGCTAGCTGTGGCGCATAGATAACGTTAATCGGAGAGTGCACTTGGCATCTTGAGCCCAAAGACCTAAGCACCCTTAGATAAAACATCGATACATATGTTTAAATACAAAACACACAAAAGGTGACGTGGGAGGATATTAAGCGCTTCCCTTCACGGGTAAACTTGGAATTCCTTCTTATGACATGCATATACTTGCATGTATAATTATACAACTCGCTGTCTGGGCCCTCAATGGTATCTGGATACGCTTAGATATCTGAAGTGTAGGGGCGACAACATATCTCAACGCATTCTCGCACACTTATCGGCGTCCGCAGATAATAATTTGAATTCCGGCCAACGGTTCAGTTAGAGAAGGAACCAATGTGACAAAATACAAAACATCAGGTTCTCCAGGACTTGGACCTGTTCTTAGATCCTGGAGCAAAAGCTTCTTTTAAAAATCCACGGGAATATATAGGGGTTTGGGGGCAGCGAGATCCTGGGTCTCCCAGGTAGCCCAAGTGTCAGCCTGTGACTCGACCTTTTCAAAACGGGTCAGTCTGAAGCACAGCCAGCAGACACACTTTGTGGGATGTGACAATACTAATGTTCTCAAACTGGTCACCAGTTTCCTCCCTAACTTAGCACGCAGGACGTTCCGCTCTTTAATATTCGCACCGCGAAATATGTGAATAATACCAGGATAAAATTCATATAAAACATAAATTCTTAGGAGACCCACAACGTACAAAAACTCACAACTAAAATGCACACTTATGGTTTCTTTCCTTGTACCAATGTTTAGGGAAAGAGATACTTCATACAGTACAGATTTAGCTCTTAAATACAAAGAGAGGGGAAAAAGTGCATTCCTGGGATGGGTTGGAAGGAATTTTTCCACAAAACTGATGAACACAATAAAACAGCTCAATACCTATGGAATTAGGCTGCTTTCCGCGTAAGTTGAATCTGAGCAACGCAAGTGTGTATATATACACCGGTCTGTATATCCATATATATTACTCAGTATTCAAGTTACTATACAGACCTGCATTTTCTCCTTAATGCTGGACACATTTTCCGTCAATAAAATCCACGACAAAAAGAGACACAAAAACTAAGGATGCGGAAAGCAGGTTTCTTCAGGGTGAGCGGGGCAGGGGTCTGATTCGCTCTGATTGGTTGTTAGTGAAGTAGGTGGCCGCTGCTATCTCTCGTTCTGGCAGAATTAGCATCTATGCCCAAGATAGGCCACACCCCCATTTCCAAGACAACGGGATGATCGATGGATGACTCAGCCAATGAGGGACGAGAACAGGCCGGGGTGGCAGCTGCAGTCTTTGCTTTAATTGGTTGCCGAGTATCTTCTTCGGTGTGAGAACAAGATGAGCAATCTCCAGCCCTTGTATGTGAGAATTGGGAACGTTTCACACCCATGTTGTAGATGTGTGCCTCCCCTTGACCAAGCGCAGAAGGGCAGAGATGGCACTGGAAAGGTCAGGCAGGACACTGTCTGTCCCGTCTCTTCAATAAATCATCGAGTGACTGCCAGCGCCAGACATCAACACGCTTCTTTCCATAAAAACTACAACCGATTACCTCCTTTCCATTTGGTCACTGAGCCCAACTTAACAACTGGGATTTCAATATCCATAGTGAGCCCTGCCAGCAAAAAGGAGCAGGTGCCCCGGAGTGAGGTGGGATACCGCCCCCTAGAGGCAGCTGTGGATGTGTGTCCCAAAAATTAAAAAAAAAAAGAAAAAAAAAAGAAAACGTGGCCAGGAGGACAACGGTGAGGTGTTGGCATATCTGGCGAGTTGGGAGGGGGTGGTGATGTACATGTCTGGAAGCTTCCAACAGCAACCCCTTCTCACATCCTCGACCCTCTTTCCTGAAGGATCTGTTGCAGAGCACGAAGATGTGGAAAGACAGGAAGTTAACCGAAAGATAGAAAGACAGATTACTTATCTCACGCCCTACTTTCATATTAAGGGACATTATCTTTTAGTCGCCAGGGGAATTACCAGCTCTAGCTGCATCAAGCCACACCAAACTGACACTGGCAACAAACATACACGCGATTACTAGTGACGCACCGATCAGGACATTTCTGCCTGATACTGATAGCTGACTATCTTGAAATCTGACACTGATACCGATTGTTTGGGAGGTTCTGCTTAAATAAGTTTGAGACAAAAATAATGACATTCCAAAAATATCAAAAGGTAAAAAAAAACACCAACTCCGGCATACAATAACAATCCCAGAGTACTATTTTTTTATAACTGCGTGGAATTTTCTTTTGCTATCAAACGCTTGTGTTACTCGGCAGCACTGCAGCCTTCTTCACTGGAATAGATTTGGTTTTCAGAAACACACTGCGTACTCTTCACTGTCTCGCCTTTAGGTGAGCTATCAAATGTGTTGTGCTGAAATGTTCATTAGTAGGTCCTCCTCATGAAATTTTAGCGGCGTAATGTTTGCAAAATGCATTTCTAACAACGTTAAAATAATTCCATCAGCAGTCATTTTTTTGTGGGTGTGCATAGCAATATGGATCATAATTTTAAAGGCAATAATAAGCGGTAAATGTCATCTTGTTTTTAACCATCGGTTGATGGCCAATTGTTGCTGTATTGTCCGATACCGATAGTTGGTCAATACAAAATCACGTTTCCCACTATGTCTGGATCTGGAGAGCATCTGGGGACTGACGAGCGGAGGGTCTCACCTTGGCTTTCTCGGTGGGCTCAATCACAAGGCCGTTGGTGGAATTGTTCAACTCCCGGGAGACCACACAGAGGAACTCCGCTTGGTCTTCATTGCCGTAGTTGTAGGAGGACCCGATGCTAATAAGCTGAGGTCAGATGGGAAGACGAGATCAAGGTCAACTCCGGCGTGAGCTTTCAGGGAGGACAGGACTTTTAGGTAACATGGGAATTTACCTGCTCAAACTTCCAGCCATCTGACATCGTAGAGACCATCTGGGTAAGTTCCTCCTCCTGACACTGCAGTACCCGGTACACATGCTTCACTGGACCCTAAGGATCATGTGACACAGACTAGTGTTACTCTGCGCACACATGAAGTATACCATAAAGCAAGACGACCATGCAAACAAACCGTTACAGAATACACAAATGACGTCCTCATCCTCCCGTCCATGGAATGATTAACTTTAGGATACTTTACAATCTGCTGCAGAAGCATTTAAACTGAAAGTAAACACTCCCAAGACAATTCTGTGAGATATATAAGCTTGCGATATCTGTTTTTTCCCCCCCCTCTACCATGACTGTGGTTTCCTATTTGTTCGCCCTCAAACAGGGTGTGTGCCATTAGCGACAAACACAGGATGCTCATCGCGCTCACTTGTGACGTCCGGTTCTCATTGTCTCTTATCCTCTCCTTGACCAGCCGCACCAGAGACGCGATGTTGTAGAACTCGGCCTCCTCCAGAACGCCTGTGATAAGCAGGGAAACCAATGGCGAGAGGTCAGGGGTCAAGGTAACACAAGGCCACGTCTCCAGCCGTCTATAATCCAGCAAGAAAAATGGTAGGCTTATATTCTCCACAGGTGGAGAACTTGGTCCCCTAAAACTGGACACGGTAAACAGGACTTGGCTACTTCTACACTTTTCAGGTGTTTTACTGCATCCATCCATCCATTTTCTGTAACTGCTTCTCCTATTCAGGGTCACCGGGGGTCCAGAGCCTGTCCTGGAGGCTATGGACACAAGGCAAGGAATAACCCAGAATGGGGCACCAACCCATCGCAGGGCACACACACACACCATTCACTCACACATGCACACCTATGGGCAATTTGGTAACTCCCATTAGTCTCACCATGTTTTTGGACTGTGGGGGGAAACTGGAGTACCCGCAGGAAACCCCTCAATGACATAGGGAGAACACACAGAGAACCCTGGAGGAGACTGGAACCCAGGTCCCAGAGGTGAGAGGCAACAGTGCTAACCACAGCACCATATTTTACTGCATATTTACAAAAAAATACTAAAAATCGGTTGCCACTTTTCCCATGATCCACTTAAACAGCTGTATTACAGGACCTAGGTTTAACCCAGTGACCAGACCTCTTCCCCTTAAGGCACAAGCCCTTCAGCACCTTGCATACCTTCTTCAGCCAGATCCTTGTTTATAATGAGCTTGCCATGACGCAAGTAGTTTAGAATAGGGCCAAAGTAAGTGGGGTCCCTGTCGATTAGGTAGGCCCCCGTTTCATCCTGTAAAACAAGCACGGGCAGCAGGTAGGAGTCGGCGGAAAATGAAAAACACTCATTTAGTGGGATTTTAAGTCAGAACATTCATTCCGATCTAACAGGCAAACAGCAACGAATCAGAGATCAGATCAATACAGTATAGGATACTATAGGTTAAAGGTAAACTGCAATAACAAGCGAAAAAAATCTCTGCATGTATTAAAGCATTCCTGCTATATTATCAAATATGGTAAATCTTAGATACTTATAACAAAACAGAAATCCAGTTGTCATACCGTGCGTGAATGCTACTGAATCGAACTGAAACAGGTTCAAATTATAATACACAGCGCTTGAATAAAGTATAATAGACAAACTGTCAATCGATTACTTTTACTGATGCGGGTTAGTGTGGTGGACTTTTATGAAATAGCTAAACACCAAGCATGTTATCCCGGTGAACGCCCACTTCAGCGGTAGTTCACAGCTTAACTTACCTTGTCTGAAACAAGATCAGGATCGTCTTGGCAAAGCCGGTACAGGAATGATTTCGGGTCTCTGCACAGCGTCTGCTTTGTGGTGACGAAGTAGGTTCCGCCGACATTGAGCCGGACCCATCTGGATCCCGGCTTCTCCAGCTGCTCCGACGGGGAACTCGGGCTGCTCCTCAGGGGGAAGACGAACATCGGCCGCGTCGACAGCCCCGGGCTGGACAAAGCGCTCCGCGGCGGGACCGTGAGAGTGGGCGAGGCGAGCCTAACAGATCGCGGCTCCGTCTGTTCTATAGTAGCCGTACCGCTCGGTTCCATGATATGAAGATCTGCCATAGTTTTTTTTTTTATTATTATTATTTTAACCTGAAGTCCCTCCCGTATCTGCTTGGCCAAAGCAACGTAGCCACACGCAGGTCCGATGCGTCCACAGAAAGCCAGAGAGCTCCGGCTCCGGAGCTGCTGCTCTGTTCCCTGCGCTCGCTTCTTTATAAGACCGCGACGGGCGCTGCGGCTGTCCTGCTACGCGTTTGACCGCTGCGCACAAGCCAGCCCGTAACCAACATCCATTTTTCGCCAATACACAGATGTATGTAGCCTTCTCGCCAGGCTCTGCCTCCTTTAGCTAGCTGGGTAACTGATAAAACACGAAAATACAGCAGGAGGCAGGACTTCCGGGTTGGGTACTCCCCAAAAGCTACTCTACATTCTGATGGAATTTTATTTTAAATACATGCATTATTCGGACAAGTGTATGTGAATATTTATTTTTCATCAGTGCTCAAACATATAATAATACCTAGAAAGCTAGGTAGTATTCCTATAGCGTTAGCCCAGCACGCTGGAACTTTTTTTCTTCCGTGTCAAGAGGATAAATTATATTTCTTAATTTCGTGGCTAATGCTGAGTGGAAATTCAAACAAACCAAAGTCAAGTATAAAATATTTAAGGGTTCGTTGGCAACGTAAACGAATGAAGAATTGTTTTTCCAGAGATTATATATTATTTTAATCCTCACTTTATATCTGCCATTTATGTTGCGGCAGAAATTTGCCATCACTTCCAGTCCCACTTCCGCTTCCGGTTCAATCCGTGCGTCCTGCTAGAGCGCTGCTGTCTTCGCCAAGTAAGTCCTATTAAGGTTACGTTTCATGCAATACATTTAAGCGGCGTCTCCATTTAATTACTGTCGAAGAAAATAATTATGTTTCATTAACTGACTGGCGTGAACACTCATTTAAGTGTTTTTTCAGGACTCGATGTTGCTGCTCTGACCTTGCGCTTTCTCCGCTGAATGCTTGGACTTGTCAGCCCCAAGGCACAATGAAACTATTAGCCGAATTAACTTACCATCACAAAGTAGTCTACCACTGGATAGTGTCAATAATTTAATATTTCCAGTGTGTGGCTGGTGTTTCCAAGTACTTCGTACGGTGTGCCGGTCTACTTCAAGTTAGGGCCTAAGCTTACTCCCGTTACGGGAGTTGCATACTATATGAAAAGTATATCGGGCAGCAACGTTCGGTGTTTAAGGTTAAACGAAAGATTCGTGCACGTTTTATTACGTCTACGAATAAGGCATCGTTATTTTTATGGGGTGGATCTTGTATGATTTTCTATTAAATTTCTCAGCAATATTCACTGTATGTATTGCATATAAATGAGATGTAAATTCCATTTGCTGCAAACGTGACGGCTATAGGTCTAAATGATTTTTCAAAAAAATCTGAAGAACATGTAATCTGTCCCCATGTTTGACCGATTGAAAGGCATAGTGTAAGCTAACGTGAGGAGTAGGTTTGTCACTGCGTTAGACAACCTTGAATTCTGTGTTTTAATGGACATTGTACCTCCTACTGAGATTTAGCCTAGCGGCTCTCAAGGTTAAAGGTTGTGGCCTTAATTATCATATTACACACTGCACTAGCTCTGCGTTGTCTGATTATGTAACCCTCCGCGTTTGTTTCTGTCAGGCTCAGGAAAGATGTCTGGTCGCCGAGCAGCACTGAAAGCCATCGATTGGATGGCCTTCGCAGAGAGGGTACCCAACAACCAGAGGACCATGTTCAACAACCTGAAGACACGCAGTGACGCCATCGCTGCCAAGTGAGTCTGCTGCTTGGCTCTGTGTATGAGCCTGTCATGCTGGGGCAACAGGACTAGCAAACTGCAGCACCATCTCACCTTTTAACATGCAATTATATGCTTATCAGACCTTAGACTGGCTACTTGAAGATCACATACAGTGATCTAAAACCACAGTCGCTCAAAATCAGGTTTTAAAATCCCGGTTTTTGGTTCATATGAGCAATATAGGCAGTTTTAAGAACATCTTTTACAGCTGAGCTGTTCTTGTTGCTCTGCAAGTGTGTAGAATTTCCATATGAAAATGTGATACAGTGTGTCTCTGATGTCTGTCTTCAAGTGGAGAGTAGCATTACTCAGTGTGTCTCTGTCATGGCCATATTAAGGATCAGGGCTAGGTTCCTCAAAGCCTTCTTAACACTATGTTGTTCGTAAGCTCTACCTTAAGCTGTCTTTTAACCACCAGTGTGTTTCCTGAAATGTTCTTATTTAAGTCTACCTTCTGTAAGATATTCTTTCGTAAAGTTGATCTGAGTCTGTTAGCTGCAGTGTTATATTTATACAAAGAACACCACCTTTTCTCATGAGCAATCAAGCAATTGCTGCATGGAGGGAATAATTGATAATTGAATAATTTATGTCCCTTAAGCAGCCTCTCAAAGGATTGTTCGGGTACCATGTGTAGACAAGTAAACAACTTCAGTAAGGTGTACCTCTCAAGTCTCCGTAAGACGACAAGAGCCCAGTTTTTTAACAATAGATGTAATGGAAAATTCAAACATTGCAGCAGAGTATCTTCGAAATGCAGCACTATAAACTAACAGTCATTTCTGACATTTCAGCAAATTCAAAAATTGTGAAAATCACAAAAAATGGTGCCCAAAAAAAAAAAAATAGGACCAATCATGTAACCTCAGCTGTGGGACTGTTGCAGGTTAGCCTCTCTCCCCGAGAAGCCGGCTGTGATTGACTGGAACTACTACAAGACTATGGTGGCGAAGGCTGGCATGGTGGATGAGTTTGAGAAGAAGGTGAGTCCAAAGCCCATTTCCTGTTTGGCTTCTGGTTCTGCCTAGTCCAGGTGACGAGGCAGGACCTTCCTTTTCATTTCCTATGTCTGATCTTGGAGCAGTTTGTTAAGAGCACCAGCTCGAGTTTAGTAATCCATGAGAGCTGGAAACCTGACACCTCAGCAATTTGGGAGACCTTTCATGTGTGTCCCTCTCAGACTCATCAAAAAATTAGTTTGAAGCTCATTCCCCGTTAATAATAATACATTTTTTTTTTATAGCATTTTTCAAGATCTCAAAGCTATAGAGCATAGAATCAAGTGAACAAATAAGAAAACAACAAAACATTACGGATAGGGTAGGTTATACGCTTGAGCAAACAAAAAGGCATCTAACTTGATTTTGAAATCTGAGACCGAGATCGACGGACGAATAGCAGTAGGGAGGGAGTTCCAAAGTCAGGGAGCAAAAATGGGAAAATGTGCAGTTGTCAGATTTCATACCAATCAGATTTTGCAGACTTTTTTTCACCTCTGAGCTCATATTGGGGAACCAGTCTTTGGGCTAAGGATGCATTTCCTGTCTTATGTGTTTTGCTTCCCCTCCTTTGCAGTTTGCTGCTCTGAAGGTGCCCGAGCCCGTGGACATTCAGACGGCCACCATCAACAACCAGGAGCAGGAATCAGTGAGTGAAGTAGCTGCCAAGTGGAGGACCACTGTACTAGCTCTTGCTTATGTGCTGGCAGTGCATGGAGGACTGCTCTGTTAGCTGGTGCTAATCTGGTAGCAGTGCAGGGAGGGCCGCTCTGTTAGCTGATGCTAATTTGGTAGCAATGTAGGGAAGGCTGCTCTATTAGCTGATGCTAATTTGGTAGCAATGTAGGGAAGGCTGCTCTATTAGCTGATGCTAATTAGGTAGCAGTGCATGGAGGGCTGCTCTATTAGCCGATGCTAATTTGGTAGCAGTGCATGGAGGGCTGCTCTATTAGCCGATGCTAATTTGGTAGCAGTGCATGGAGGGCTGCTCTACATCGTCTTGCACCTGATGCTACATTGTCTCTGACAGTGCAATGTAGAATAAGCCTTCCAGAGTATGCGTGTATACATGTTCGGTTTCTCTTTCCACAGAACAAGAATGCTGTAGCCTACATTGAGGCCTCCAAGGCTCGCATTGGCCAGTATGAGCAGGAGGTGAGCGTGGCCTCTCTCTGGGTGGGCGGGTTGTGTCCAGATGAGACTGTTGGGGGCTGTATGATCTACAACAGGCTCCCTGCTTCTGCAGCCTCAGTAACAGCCCCAGTCTCATTCACCACTATTCCTAATTCCTCAGCTTGAGAAGTTCAAGAGCATGATCCCCTATGACCAGATGACCATCGAAGAACTGAATGAGATGTTCCCAGAGACCAAACTGGATAAGGAGAAGCACCCATACTGGCCACATAGGCCCATCTCGGAGCTGTGATTGGGTCTCTTTCAGTTTGCGACACGCTAGTCTGTTATCTGATCATGTTTCTCAATAAACTTATTGTACAGTTTGCTCTGTGTCGACCCCATTTTAAGTTCCCTTACACACACCTTGCTAGGCACAAGAAAAAACATGCTCCATATCAATTTGAGTGGCTCAGTGTCTGTGATCGGGAGGTCGCTGGTTCAAGCCCTGTCCTCAGCACCATAGTTAATTGTCCGTGGGTGTGTATGTGTCTCATGGAGAGCAAGATGACCACAATTTCTCCACGTGGATTAATAAAGTGTCAGTATTGCTATTCATTGGACTGACTTTTGTTATTTTATGTTCTATGTGTAATTAAGTGTACATATGTAAACACATGAATAGATTAAGATGATAATTCAACTTTGAATTTATCAAGTTTACTTAATGAATGAGTGAATGTTACATTTATAATTACTGTAAAGTGAGACCATCTGATGAAAAAATTGTGCTTGTGTGAGGGAAGAAGCTACAGTATTAGGAAATTAGTTGTTTGCTGCCATCTTGTGGTCAAGCATGGTTTGTGTTACTGTACATTTAAACGTCAAAAACATCGATAATAGAATATTTAGGGGTATTGATCACACCTATTTTCATCATACAAAACAAGACTACAGCATAAAAATATGAAAATTGATGCATATATATCAAGTTCAATAACTTTAAAACAACCATTGCTGTTATTACTAAGCTAGGTTAAAATCAAGAAACAATAACCAATGAGTAGCTATTACCGAATAATAGGGCACAACTTTTGATTTTCTCAGCGCCCGCAGTTTTCTAACACAGTAAAAAAATTACCACACTTAACTGTCTTTAAATGTACTGTGCATCCCTGAGCAAATGCATTCAGGGGCAGGATGTGACCACCTGAAATGTTCAGGCCTTCTCTGTCCCACAGATACTGAACCACCCCTCCCCCTCACAGAGGCCCCTCCCCCTCACAGAGGCCCCTCCCCCTCACAGAGG